TAGACCCCCTTCTCCTTCATATTCCTGCTCCTAACTAACTCCATGATTTTTAGGGTGTATAACAACTTGGAGTATCACAGCAGGAATGCAAAGCCCAGCAGATCTACCCTGGAGCTGGAATTACCTAAGGAGTTACAACCAGGAGTGGGACACTTCATGTTGAAGTTGTAGCTCTCGTGGAAGCGGCGCCGCTTGGGGCGGTGGGAGAGGTCACTCCCGGAATCCTTCATGGACATGTCCTTGGCGATGCTCTCATCGTGGGACACGTTGGGGCTGGAGATGTCAATGTCCGACTCCGAGGAAGGGGCGTTCCCGGTGGGAGTGCGAGGTGGGGACTCATCGTGATCCGCCGCGTTTTTTGTGTCTGGGTAAGGATACGGACAACGAAAGGATCCGGATGTTACGAATCCGAGAAAAGGCTTTTAAAGACGTGTAAAGCCCAGAGCTGCAACCCCCAGCCCTGGGGATACCCTGGGAGGAAGGTTTTTCCCGGAGGTTCTCCCCAGCACACACCTCTGTCCGAGAAATCCACCACCTGCTCGGTCTCGGAGCCGGAGGAGCGCGTCTGCCGCAGCGGGTACTTTTTGGGAGTGACGGGAGCGGGCTGCTGCTGGCTGCGGGTCACCCTGCGCGTGGAGTACACCGGCTCCTCCGCTCCGAAGGACGGCGGGTTGCGCACCGGGCTGGAATCTGAGCCCGTGGGAGCAGTGCAGTTACACCTCGAGAACCAGCAGGGACTGCCCAGCAAACCCTGCCGGCCCCCAAACCCTGCCTGGCCCCAAACCCTGCCCGGCCCCAAACCCTGCCCGGCCCCAAACCCTGCCCGGCCCCAAACCGCCCGGCCAAATCCTGCCCCCAAACCCTGCCCGGCCCCAAACCCTGCCCAGCCCCAAACCCTGCCCGACCCCCAAACCCTGCCCGGCCCCAAACCCTGCCCACCCCAAACCCTGCCTGGCCCCCAAACCCTGCCTGGCCCCCAAACCCTGCCCAACCCCCAAACCCTGCCCAACCCCCAAACCCTGCCCGGCCCCCAAACCCTGCCCGGCCCCAAATCCTGCCCAGCCCCAAATCCTGCCCGGCCCCAAATCCTACCCAGCCCCAAACCCTGCCCGGCCCCAAACCCTGCCCGGCCTCCAAACCTTGCCCAGCCCCAAACCCTGCCCACCCCCAAACCCTGCCCCAGAGCAGGAGGAGGAAGATGACCTCCAGAACAGCAGAGTCTGTGACTGACAGTTCTATCCTGCCACTCTCACCATGCTCTGTCCTCCCCAGATAAAATCTCTGGGATTTCACTCACACTGAGCAGTCTGGAATTACATCAGCTTTCTCTGGACTTAATGACTTAATTAACCAGTAATTATTAACCAGGTTCGGTTTGGAAAGCTAAAGATCCGTTAGCTTAGATAAGAACTATCAGAGTTTAGATAAGCCTTGGGAAGAGCAGGATTGCTCCCACTGTGGAGCTGGATTTGATTTGGATTTGTTGCTGATTTAGGATTTGGATTTGTGATCCTACCCTGCTCATAAGAATCATGGAATGGTTTGGGTTGGAAGGGACCTTAAAGCTCATCCAGTTTCAACCCCTGCAACAGGCAGGGAATATATATCAAGCAATTATTTTGCATTAAAATAATGCTGTCCTAACCCATGGATATCACAGGTATTCCATACGCACCTTTCCTTGTTTTTAAGATCTAATTACCACGTGATCACACACACGTATTTCTCATCTGCAATAAAATTTGTCACAAACTACATTTTTTTTAATCCAAGTGTCTACAAGGAGCAATGGAAATGAGCTTTTATCTGCTGTCATTTCCTCTCCTTGATGCCAGATGGCAACACATGAACTAACTGCCAAAAACTGCCCACACTAACACTAAAAAAAGAGGAGGTGGACTCATTCCACGTTTCCTTTTACAGTCTGAGCGCCAAAGGAGGAGCACACAAAATAACTGCCAGTACTTGGTAACGTTTATCACACAGCAGGGTCAGCACATCACAAAAATACATCTCCCCTTGGGGCACAGGACCCTCCAAACAAACAAATAAAGGAAATAAAACCCACTTTCACCCCTAAGCCCCCTCTCCCTCACTTGGCTCCGGTACCAATGGAATGGAAAGGAGATTTCTAGAGTTCTCAGAAAATTCAGGCAAAGCTGGCAGTGGAAGTGTGGGGTTTGACTCCTCCTTCCCTTACCAATTTGTCAGCTTTATTTTTTGAACACAGGGCACTCATCTTTTGATTTCCATCACCTTTAGATTATACAACCCCATCTGTGCAGTATGTACAAATAAAGGTGCTTTTTGCTGTGTTGGTAATAGCTAAAACCCACAAATATAAATTCCTATTTATGCTTAAATTCTACATGTTTAGGTTCTAAACAGCACGGACTGCACTGAGCCTTTTTTTTTTTTTTTCTGAAAAGGCTGAATTTCTTTTGGTTTTTGAAGCAGAGCCTTTACCTTGGGAGCTCTGGCTGAGCCTGGCCGAGGAGCGTGTCACGCGGGCGGAGCGCCGGGAGGTGCCGTCGCTCTCCGAGCTGTCCGTGTGCTCGGGATCCGTGGAAAAATCGGAGTCCTCCGTCCCATCTGAGCTACTGCCCGCGTTCCTCTGCAACAGCACAGCCCACACGTCAGCAGAGAGCACCTCCACTTGGATGTTGTAGAAAATGTTTCATAGAACCGTGGAATGGTTTGGGTTGGAAGGAGCTGAAAGCCCATCCAGTCCCACCCCTCTGCCGCGGGCAGGGACACCTCCCACCAGCCCAGGTTGCTCCAAGCCCCGTCCAACCTGGCCTTGGACACTTCCAGGGATGGGAAGAGATGTTAGATGGATCAATTCAACCAAAAATGTCAAGTGTATCGCTCTTTATTTTGGTTTAATAAATATGCAGTGTCAGCGCCTTCAGTAATAAAAAGCTTCTTGCAAACTGATCCCCAAGGAAAGGTCATGGGAGCACCGAATTAATTAAAGCAAAAGATGGTGTTGGGTCACAGGTTGGACTCAGGGATCTTGGAGGTCTTTTCCAACCGGGGATTCCATGATCTATTTTTCCCCTATCAGGAAGGTTCCCACCTCGTCCAAGACACTTCAGCTGGAAGGCTTGGGGTGTCCTGGGCAGGGCCAGGAGTTGGGCTTGATGATCCTGGTGGGTCCCTTCCAACTAAGGATATTCCACGTGCTCTGTCCCTCCAGCTGCACCCCAAAATCCCACCTGGCTGCCCCGTGTCCTGGGTTCAGCTGGGACAGATTTAATTCCTCCTCAGCTGCCGTGTTTGGGATTCAGGATGAGAATGGTGTTGAGAACACACCAGTTTTTGGGGTTTTATCCTAAGTCAAGGACCCTTTTCCCCCTTTCTTTGTGCCTCCTGCTCTGCCAGTAAGAGGGGTCAGAAAAGAACTGGGAGGGAGCAGAGCTGGAACAGGCACCACAAACTGGGCAGAGGGATATCCCACAGCAGTGCCCCAAACTGGGCAGAGGGATATCCCACACCACACGACGCCATTCCCAGTACCTAAACCGGGAGAGTCATCCCATAGCAGGGGGATAGATCTGGATGTGGGAAGGGGAGCTTCTGGCATCACTCAGTTGGTGCTGAGCAGCTGTATTCTACCTCACTTGTTCTTCCTTTTTATTATTATTTACCACCATTATTACATGTAACTTCGTTTTTATTATCGAACTGTTTTTATCAGAACCCAGAAGCTGGACTGTAAACACTGAGGGGTGAGGGAGCGGCAGCGCAGTGCGTAATTTCCACCCGGGTTTAAACCACGACGCGCCGAGGGGACAACCAGAAGGTGGTTCGGGGCACGGTGGGATCCCCGGAGGGAGCCTCGTGGGGGCACAGCCGTGAGGGGACGGCGCTGGCGGAGCAGTGAGGGGAGCTGGGGTGGCGGCCGCCATGAGGGCAAGGGGGGGAGGCCTCGCGCCAGTGGCGGGAGCGCGGCCCCCGCGCCGCTTTGTTTTGCACCCAGCGGAGCCGCGCCGGCCCCAGCCAATCACAGCGCGCGTGGGACGAGCCAAAGGGAGAACCCGCCAATGGCAGCTCGAGGAAGGGTAAAAGGCGGGCCCGCGGTGAGTGACGGACGGCACAGCCGCCCTATCAGCGCGAGGCTTGCTCCCACGGCAACATCAACCGGGGGGGCGGAGTCAGATGGGGAAACAGGGCACGCGCGGGGAGGTGACCGTTGGGGGTGGATTGACATCCGCGAAGGCCAATCAGAGGCAGGCCCGGCACTGCAGCCTGACGAATAGGCCATCAGCTCTGCGGCGGCCTACCCAATCGGAGGCGGTAAGGGGCGGAACCCGCTGCCCGCGCGGGGGAGGGGGAGCGGTGGCCGTTGGGGGCCATGAGTGACAAGCAGGGCGTCCAATCAGCGCGCGGCGTACCCGTGCGGGAGCCAATCAGCGAGCGCGGGAGGCGGGCGCTGGGGGCTCAAGGCCGCTATTTTCCCCCCGGTTTTGTGCTCGGGAGAGGCAGCGGAGAGGTTGGGGAAGGGTAGAAAGCTGCGGGCCAAGCTCGTCGGTACCCCCCATCAGCCGCCTCCCCCGATTCCCGGCCGCGCTCACCTTCCTGCGCTGCATCCTAGGCGGGGGCAGCGAGCTCGCCTGGTCCCCGGCGCCCGCGGCCCGCGAGGCGGCGGTGGCCGCCGTCGTGTTAGCGCTGGCGGGCTCCGTGGTGACAGCCGTGTCTTCCGCCCTGCGGCACGTCTGCTCCGGCGGCGCCAGCCCCGCTTCCAGCCGCCGTTCCCTGCTCGGTCCCTCACGCTTCCGCCGGGACGCGGCCCACTCCCCCCGGTCACGTGACCGCGAGCCATCTTGGAGCCGGGCAAAGCATCTCTGTGGCGCCGCTGGCAGCGAAGCCGCGCTCCGCCATTTTTGATTCGGGCCGAGGACTCTTGGCGCGAGGCGCTGAGGCGGCGGCCATTTCGAGTGAGGGCGTGAAGCCGGCGAGGCGCGGGGCGGGTGGTGTTGCCGGGGGCGCCATGTTGGGTTCGGGCAGGCGGAGCGGCGGGGCCGGGCTGTGGCGCCGCCGGGACCGCGGGGCGAGGGGCGGAGGAGGGCGGTGAGTCCCGGGGCTGCCGGGGCCGGCCGAGGGCGGGGAAGGCCCTGCGGTGAGGGCGGGGAGCGGTGGGGTTCCCGGCCCCCCCCTCCCTTCAGGGACAGGCCTGTTCCGGGCCTGGGCGCTGGGGCGGGGCCGGGACGGGCGCGCGGGGAGGTGGATTATCGTTAATAACCGTTAATTGGGCTCTGCTCTCAAAATGCTGTCGCGGCGGGGAGGGGGAGGGAGGGGCGACTTTTGGTGGGTTTGGCCGGTGTGGTTCTGTCTCGGGTGTCTCTGAGGGCCGTGTGGCGGCTCTGGCTGGGCCAGGCTGAGGGGCGAGTTCATTTACCAATAATTGTGGAGAATCATGGAACGATTTGGGTTCGGAGGGACCTTAAAGGTCCAGTTCCACCCCAGGGACACCCTCCACCATCCCAGGTTGCTCCATCCTTGGACACTTAAGGGATGGGGCAGCCACAGCTTCTCAGGGAAATCCATCCCAGCCCCTCCCCACCCTCCCAGGGAGGAATTCCTTCCCAATATCCCATTTAATCCTACTCTCTTCCCCTTGTTCTGTCTCTCCATCCCTCGTCCCCAGTCCCTCTCCAACTCTCCTGGAGCCCCTTTAGGCCCTGCAAGGGGCTCTCAGGTTTCCCTGGAGCCTTCCCTTCTCCAGGGGACATCCCCCCGCCCCAGCTCTCCCAACCCCATTCCTTCTCCTCTGACATCCATCCTGCCCCTTTCCCTGCATTCCTGCATTCAGTCACAGAGCTGGCCCCAGGGATTTGGATTTGAAGATTTTGTGAACACAGGAATTCTGCACAGGATTTGTGAGCAGCTCTCTCAACCTGTCTCCAGAGCAGGAATTGCTCCATCCCTTTAATTATCTCCATCACCTCCTCTGGACTCGTGTTTTAATGTGACAACACTGTGTATCAACTGCAATAAATCGCTTTATGTGAAGACTTGGGGGGGGAAAAAAGGAAGGATATTTAGTCAAATACATGATTTCTTTCCAGCTCTGGTTATCTTTAGGGATTATGAATTTCTCAGGGCCTAATCCTGTAATCCTTGGGAGGGTTTGTCATCCTTAGTCATGCAAGTGATGCTGCTGCTTTTCTCACTCCAAATTGTCATTTCTCATAGGTGTATCCAGTTTCCTGTGAAATGCTGAAGGGCAAACCTGGAGAAGGGAGATGAAATCCCTCTGCTTTTATCCCAGCAGGGAGGAAGTGGGGAGCAGTTTGTGTGGTATGTGAAGCATTGGGTCAAATCAGCTCTGAATGTCGAGCCCAGGAGAACAATGGGAGTGTGAACAGCTCTAGTCCCTTATTTCAGGGAACTCATTTGCAAATCTGGAAAACCCCCTAAATGCAGGAATTCTGCAACCAGCTTGGTTTAGTATCCCTGGCAGGGGGGTGGAAGGGGATGAGCTTTGAGGTCCTTCCAACCTCCTTGGGAATTGTTGGAGGTGAAACTGCGGGTCTGTGGTAGGGAAAAGCACGAAGGGAAGTGGAATTGGAGCAGCTGGAGGTTCTGCCGCGGTGCCATCACCACTAGATGTCAGTGGGTGAAGGGTGTGAAATTCGGGATCAGCTCCGGAGGAGAGGGAGCAATTTCTGGGGTGCAGAGCTGGTGCAGCTGCTGCTCACCAGGATCCCACTGCGGTTAAGCTCTTCTTCATAATGTTCTTAAAACAGACTTTTAAAACTCTCAGAATATTCTGAGTAGAATTTTTCTGAGGCTAAAGCAGAAAGTTTAGAAGAAGAGGCTCACAAAACATCCCTGTGCTGGAAGGGGCCCACAGGGGTCATCAAGTCCAATTCCTGGCCCTGCACAGGACATCACAAGTTTGGCATATTTGATGATGGAACTTCATCTTAAATGGCACAAAAGTGATTTTTAGGTTTTAAATTCTCTTTTATTTAAATATTGGCAGGTGCCAGATTCACACTGGTTCAGCAGAAATCTTTTGGTCCTGAAGATCTCATGGAATCTGAAACCTCTCCAGGCCTTCGGCCTCGCTAAAACTCTTTAGAACGTGGCAGGGGGATGGAACTGGATGGTCTTTTTCCAACCCAAACCATCACACGATTAAATACCAAATAAATATCTCTTGCTGAATCTTAGAAAATACAGGCAATGAAAAAAACCCAAAACAAATGAGGTACAACTTCAGTTGGTTGAAATTAAAGGTTTAGGTTTAAAAATTCAGGTTTAAAGCCCTGATTTCCTGCCTTGGTTCCCCCTTGCTCTGGAGAGCTGGCAGGGAGGGAGTGAGCTGCCATCACTTCTGTTAGTGGTGATATAAATTAGGAATTGTTGGGAAGCAGAATAAACGTTTGTAAAGTCTCTGAAGTTTCTCAGTTGCCTCATAAGTAAGGTTTATAAATTATAATAATTCCCTGTGATCTCTTCCTGCAGGATGAATTTACTTAAGTGTATTTAAAGCAACTGAGAGAAATGCTATAGAATGAAAATACACCATAAACACCACCTGGATTGCTACATTTTAATAAATCTCACTTGTTTTTAGGTGCCATCTCAGCCCAGCTCTGGGGGGTTGAGTTACCCAAAGGTTGGGATGAAGCTGCAGAGCTGGAAATACCCAGATGTGAAGATCCAGGATAGCTGCTGCTTTGACTTCCCCATCTTCAGAAGGTGAGTGGAGATGGGTTCCCTCTGGTTTGGGTTCCTGATTAATCACTTTAATACCTGGATTTAGGTGCAGGTGACAGAGCAGCACCAGGGATCTCTTGGAAAGACTGAAGAATTCCTGATCCAGTGTGATGTCTGTGGGTTGGGTTATTCCCACTTTTCCAGTGGGATAACTGGGAATGGCTGCTGTTTGTTGGCTGGATTTTTGGGCAGAGCCTGAGCCACCTGACCCATGTTAGGCTGGGGCTGAGCAGGGCTTGGAGCCTCAATTATTGTGTCACCAGCCTGACCTTAGTTCTTGGCCTGGTGCAGTGAGTGATGTGCAAGCAGGGCAGGGCAGACTGGGATCCCAGTGGATGGAGTGGGAATGCTGTGGAGCCTGGACTAGCAACAAGCCTGACCCCAATTTTTGAGTCTTTCCTTCTGTATAAAACTCCCCAGTGGCCTCGGGACACTTCACAAACCAACCCAACAGCAGCAGATGTATTTAATCCAAACTGTGCTGCTGGAACAGGGCTTTCTCTGCAGATTGACTTGGTATTTTCTGCTTTTGCATTAAAGAGAACTGTTAATGAGCTGCAGCACACCAGGAGGATGAGTCTGGGGGGAGAGGGGCTGGGTTTAATGTTTTTAAAGCCTGAAGCAGGTGTAGAGCTGCGTGGACACTGAGCTGAGCCTAAAGAAATGCCTTGAGTGGGGAATCACGGCCCTGCAGGTCTGCAGACACCACCAGCTGGGGGTGGGTGGCTTGGAGTGTTCCGGGACTGGAACAGAATCCATGGACTCTTCCCTGGGGCTCTGGCAGCAGACACGGAGTGGAGCCTGTGTTTCCTGGCATCAGGAGCAAGGTCAGCCCAGCCTGGCCTACATCTTTCCTTTTTTAAATTGTGATGGAAAAAAAGTAAAAGATCCAGGCTGAGTTTTTTTTGCTGAAAGCAGAAGTTTTTCACTTGGTTCCAGCTGACTATGGCCCCGCCTCCTGGTCCCTTCCCTCCCCTGGGTCTCATAGGATAATCTAATTATTAAATAGCTCCAATAAAAGCACATTCTGCCCTGGCAGGAATAAAGCCTATTGATAGGCAGGATATTTTTGTGCCACCCTCGCCCTGGCCCTGCCAAAATGGGTTATTTTTTTGGATTTGTGGTCTGCTCCTTTAATACATTCCTTCCAGTCTAGGCAGAGCTCTCCAACTGCCTGGCACTGGAGTTAATTCCTTGTTTCCCAGTCAATCCAATCTGCTCCTAAAGGAAAACTCTGCTCACGTTGCCCAGCCCAGTGACACAAACTCTCACAGGTGTGGGAAACGTTTGCCACCCAAGAGGACCCTGGTGTGGGAAGGTGGAACCTGATCCCTTTTGGCACTTCCCGTGGGCAGCTCTTCCCCGTCCGACTCTGGGGAACCATTCCCGGCCTTTGGAGCTCAGCTTCCAGTTGGCAGGAATGTCTTGGACACAGGAAGGAGCTGTAGGGTGTTAAAAACAGGTTGAAGAGTGACCCCTAATCCCTGTGGTGGAGGGATAATTTAGGGATGTGCCTGTTTGCATCCCAGGTGAAAATAAGAGGAAGGGAGCAGAGAAACAACTGTCAGCCCAACTGCAGGGTGGAGTGTGTTGGGAGGGCCAGCAAAGGTCACGAACATAAGGAGCCTTAAGATAAGGAGTGAGGTGGAAATAAGAACCAGAGCTGGGCAGAACGTTTGGAAAGTGAATCCAACCAGTTTGGCCCGTTGAGTGATTTTTGGGATGGCCTGACACGCTCCAATATCAAATATCCATCCCTTTGGCAGCCTTATCCCTCCTTTAGTTTCCTGGGATGCTGGTGAGCTCTGAGCATTAATGCTGAGGGAGCCAAAAAGCCACCAAACTGAGGGCAAATTGCCATTATGGGATGGACGGAGAATGGGAGACATCACAAAATGGGAGCTGTGGCTTTGACACCAGTTTGTTGTGGGATATGATCCCTGTCCTTTATACCTCTAATTAGAGGGGGGAGAAAACCCTGTTTATGTCTCTAATTAGGAAAAAACATTGTTTTAGTTGGAGCAAAGAGATAATTGAAGCCTGGGGTGAGCAGTCTTGGTGCTTTGTGGGACTTGTGTCCTGTTAGAAAGTGCTGCAGAATGGCTGTTCCTGGGTTCCTGTGCCAGCTGGAACTGCTGATTTCCTTTGAAACTCCTGCTTTTCTAATTATTCATGGCTAAAAAAGCAAAAAAAAGCTCCTTCCCATATGAACTCCTGGCTCCCTGAGCTCCAGGGCGAGCCAAGTAGGTGATTTTCTTCAGCCTCTGCATTTTTTCCTAATTACATTGTGCCAGTTGTTACCAACAGTCTGACTTACCTGTGCTTCCCAATGCTGGAATTCTGTGTGCTGGAAAAGCTCAGCAGCACTTCTGGGGGGGAGTTTGTCTTGGGAATGCCTTGGATCTATAAGGGGATAACATTTTTTGTGCCAAATCCAGCCCTTTCTGTCAAGTTTTTGTTTCTATAGCACGTTTTTGGTACTTTTTCCAGTGGAATTCAGAGGAGGAGAGGGAGGCAGAGCTGTGGGAGCTGCCAGGCAGGAGCTGGTGCATGAACTGGAGCTTTAATTGCTGCGAGCTGGGAAACCAGGGGATTTGCCTCTCTTAAAAGCATAAAGCTTCCTTTAACACCTTCTCCTAAGCGAGATGTTGTTCCTTTATTATATGCTTTACATCTGATTTTTTCAGCCCATGTTACTCTGGGAGATCCTCCTAAGTCTCTGATGCTGGCTAATTCCTGAATCCATGTCTCTGTGCATGCGGAGGAGAGACAAGTCCATCCCTTAGGGTGAGCCAAGTGGGATCTCCCAGCGTAAATCCCGATTCCTGGTGGCCCCCAGATGTGTTGTGTCCCTGCAGTCCCAGCTCCTGCAGGGTTCCTTGGGCAGGGAGTTCCCCCGGTGCCATCAGCACTAATAAAACTTGGAATTCAAAATAAAACCGGGAATCAAACCTCTGTGTGTGAGGGAGGGATCCCAAGGAGGATAACCCCTCCATCCCTGCTGGCTGTGTTTTCCAGGAGGAGCTGTGGGGTCCCAGCAGTGGGACGATGAGGAGGATGCAGCAGCAGGTACGAAAGAGGTTTTATTGGAGCTGCAGCTCCTGTTTTAAATTGCTGTGGGGGTAATTGAGTGACTCCCTCTCCCTGTATCCCTTTCCATGCCCTGTGCCAAGGCTGGCAGTGGACAGGGGTGACTGCTTTGAAGTGCTCTCCTGCTTTCTGGATGATTCACACTGGTAGGAGAGGCTTCCTGCCTTTCCATGACTTAGGGAAAAGCTCCATTTCATAATGTCTCCTTACTCTTAGCAGGGCTTGTGCTCTGTTCCCAAAACTCCCACTGTTTTCACTGCAGGCATGACCAGACTGTGAAACAGCTTGGCTGGTCTGGTGAATAATCTGTGAGTCTCTTTTAATAAACTGCAGTTTTATTTATCTTGCTGCTCTTTAGAGCTTTTCATCTCCAAACATTCAAGTGCAGAAACTGTCCAGCAGTGAAACTCAGCCGTGTCTCTTGGGGATAGAGTGGGAGGCAGACAGGCAGGCATTTTTTTACTCCACAGTTTGGAGTGAGAGGAATTTTGTTCAAGGACAATGAGGGAAAGCTTAGCTTGTGTGCCGAGTGACCCTTTGATCTTCCACGTTCATGCTCAGCTGATCAGGACTTTAAATCTAAGCTCTGTCTCCCTCCTCCCCACAGCAAACAGCCAGAAATATAATCTGCCCTGGGACTGGCCCAGGAGGGCTGGGCTGCAGGGGCAGCTGCTCGGCCCCACATGGGCCTTCTTGTCCTGTCCCCTCCTCCAGGGACACCCACCTGGAGCTCAGGGGGTGGGTGGCACTCGTGGGGTGTCTCAGGGGGTGGGTGGCACTCGTGGGGTGTCTCAGGGGGTGGGTGGCACTCGTGGGGTGTCTCAGGGGGAGAAGGCCAGGCTGAAATGTGTGTGACACTCATGGCTGCAAACCTTGAGGTTTCAAACTGGAGGTAGGGTTAGGTTGGATACTGGGAGGGTGGGCAGGGGCTGGGATGGATTTCCCAGAGAAGCTGTGCCTGCCCCATCCCTGGGAGTGTCCAGGACCAGGTTGGATGAGACTTGGAGCAACCTGGGCTAGTGGAAGGTGTCCCTACCCATGGCAGGGGGTGGCACTGGGTGATCTTTAGGGTCCCTTCCAACCCAAACCCACAATCCTGTAATTTTGGAGTGTTTGCTAAACGTGGGGAAATGACTTGGGCTTCCTGAGGCTCTGGAAAGTGGGAGCTGTTCCTGGTGCTGGGCTGGGTCCAGCTCTGCTGGGCAAGCAGAGGAGGCTCCAGAAGGTGCTGCCCAGCACCTGCAAAGGAGCAGGCAGAGGGTGACAAGAAGTTGGATCCTTGACCTGCAGCCCTTGAGCAGTCGCAAAAGGCTGTGTTAGTGCAGCACTTTGTTAGGATCCCTAATTACAGGGCTGGAGAGCAGCCTGTGGAATGTGGGACCCCAAATCCCTCACACTCTGTGGTGTGTGTCTGTCGGGGAAGGATAGGGAAAAGCCTCTTCTGCTGCAGATAAATTTGGGGGACTGATAATGTGCAGCTCAGCTGAGCCCCTTTGATAGGCACCAGCTGGAGCTTTCCTGCCTCATATTTACCCAAAATGTGGGGGCTAAACCTTTGGAGAAAGCAAAACTTGGCCTGGAATCAGAGTGGGGCTTTATTTAATTTGCTCTCCCTTGCTTATCTGCAGGGTGAGATGTGGTGGGAACAGGCAGAGGCCCAGCTGTGTGACCTTCCTTGTGCTGAAACAAAACAGCCCCAGAGCAGGGAATATTTTTAATTTCTCCCAGCTGTGGGTATTGGGTTCTAATCACTGTGCCCTAAAAAAAGACACTTCACAGAGAAACTGAAAGATGAATTTGAATGTGGAGGTTGGGAGTCCCTAAAAAAGCTGAGCTACCACTTCATCAGTGAGACAATAACTTGGTCTCTTTTTGGCATGTGTAGCTATTTTTCTTGGCAGTTTTTTGTTCTTTTGAACACCTGTGCTTGGTAGTTCTCTCTCCATTTTTTTTCCTTATATTTAATAACTTTTTACTTTAGTAAGAGTTCTTGTGGACCTGGGGAAGAGAATATTTTTGGGAAGGGTGTCTTTCCTGGAAGAAATGTCTGTACACAGAGGAGCAGCAAGATCAGGAATGGATTTACCTCTGGGATGGGGAGAACTGTTAAAGCAGACACTTGAGGGCCCTTTTTTGGTTTAAAACTTCATTTTAAGATTGAGTGAACAGGGAAATACTGAAGTGTTTTTTTGGGTGACTCTCAGAAATGCCCCCTCAGTGCTGCTGTTCTGGAATGTTCCCTACCCACCCTTAGGGCACCCTGGGAACACACCATTGTGCTCTGACCTTATCAGGGATCTGCAGGGCTCCTTCCTGGAAGAGATAGGGCTGGGCAGTTTGGGTGGGGGCTGATGGTTTGGTGGTGGAGCAGTGTGGGGTGGGAGATGATCGCTTTGATGGGTGGAAGATCAGTTTAGTGAATCCGTTTGGGGGGTGGATGGTCGGTTTGGTGGGTCAGTTTGGGGGAGGGAGGATGCTCACTTAGGGGTGGGTGATCACTGTAGGGGATGGATGCTCAGTTTGGGAGTGGCTGATCATTCTGGGGGGTAATGCTCCCTTTGCTCCACCCTGTTCCTCCCTCCTCTCCAGCCCCAGATTTGCAGTTTCTGCCCCATCTTTGCTCCCCCCAGTAGCTGCAACATCGGCCCCTTCTCTCCTCCCGGGGCTGCTGTGCAGGGAGGAGCTGTCCCTGGATGGATCCCGGGTGTCCCTGGATGGATCCTGGGTGTCCCTGCCTGGATCCTGGGTGTCCCTGCCTGGATGGATCCCGGGTGTCCCTGCCTGGATGGATCCCGGGTGTCCCTGCCTGGATGGATCCCGGGTGTCCCTGCCTGGATCCTGGGTGTCCCTGCCTGGATCCTGGGTGTCCCTGCCTGGATGGATCCCGGGTGTCCCTGGATGGATCCCGGGTGTCCCTGCCTGGATGGATCCCGGGTGTCCCTGCCTGGATGGATCCCGGGTGTCCCTGCCTGGATGGATCCCCGGTGTCCCTGCCTGGATGGATCCCTGGTGTCCCTGGATGGATCCCTGGTGTCCCTGCCTGGATGGATCCCGGGTGTCCCTGGTCCCTGCCGTGCCCAGGGGGTGCCAGAGCGGCCGGGCAGTGCTGCCGTGGCCGATACCCGGGGGGACACGGCCTGGCACAGGGACACGGCCTGGCACAGGGCCGGGGCTGCTCTGCCCCCCCTGCCCTCCCCTGTCCTTATCTCCCTGTGCCACAGCTGCCCCCACCCCACCCTCCTCGCTTGGGCTGATGTTCCCTTCCCTTGCTTTCCCTGAACCCTGGAGCTGTGCCCCTCTGGGATCCACAGGGGAGTTTGCTCCGAGGGTCAGACTTTATGGACACAGGGAATGGTTTCCCACTGTGCGAGGGCAGAGTCAGATGGGATATTGGGAAGGAATCCTTCCCTGGGAGGGTGGGGAGGGGCTGGGATGGATTTCCCAGAGAAGCTGTGGCTGCCCCATCCCTGGGAGTGTCCAAGGCCAGGTTGGAGTGACCTGGGAGAGTGGGAGGTGTCCCTGCCCAGGGAACAAGATGATCTTTAAGGTCCTTTCCAACCCAAACTATTCTGGAATTCTCTGATCATCTGAGGACTAAAAATATGTTTTAGGCGACCAGAACAAGGGAAAAGCCTGTGCTGGGATACCTTTTCAAGGAATCGAACAGTGTGATCCCAGTTCCCAGGTCTGAATGGAGATGGGATCAGAAATGATGCTCAAGGAGCAGAAGGTCAGGGAATGGTGAGGTGGGGCAGGTTGGAGGCACCTTCCAGGTTTGGGACTGCAGGGCCAGATGGAGGAACCTCATCCTGGAAAGGGCTGTGGGGCCGGATGGGGATCGGGATCGGGATCAGGATCGGGATCGGGATGGGGATTGGGATCGGGATGAGGATCGGGATCGGGATCGGTTCTACCCCCCCGCCAAAGGTGAAAGAGGAACCGGCCCCGCCCACGTGACCGCTCAGCGCGTGGGCTCTGCCCTGCTCTGATTGGCTGGGCCGCTTCTGTGGGCGGGGACAAAGGGCGTGGCTTCACGCCCTTCTCCCTCTGTGATTGGCTCTGCCGCCAGCAGTGACGCCTCCTGGCGCTCCTGGTTGGCCGCCGCCGCGGCGCGTGCGGGGCGGAGCGTACCGAGCGCTCTCATTGGCTTCCTTCGGTGTGGGCGGGGTGCCGGCGGCGGGGCAGCCAATGAGCGCCGCGCTGCGCCCGTCGGCCCCGCCCCCGAGCGCTCATAAGGGGCGGGGGCGGCGCGGGGGGCTCAGAGCGGCGGGCGGGCGGGCCATGGCGGGGGTGGGTGCTGCGCGCTCCGGTCGCGCCGGCCCCGGGGGGCTGCACCCGCTCCGCGCCACCGTGCCCTTCCAGCTGCAACAGCGCCGCGGAGACGGGGCCCGCGCAGGTAACGGGGGGACCCCGCGTGGCCCCGGCACCCTCAGGGCACCGGTAGTTGTGGATTGGCCCCCAGGGTGGGGGCTCCGAAACGGCCCCTCCGCCCGGGCACCCGATCGGGGGGTCCCGGCAGGGCCGGGCTCAGCCATCCTTGTGCCCCCGAGGCTTCTCCGCAGTGATGGTGCGGGGGTGGAAGCGAAAGGGAAATGGGAGAAGCGAGGGCAGAGCAGCGGGGACGGCGACAGGGAGCGAGGGGACACGGCCCCCTGAATGGGCCCGGGCTCTGAGCTGGGACCCCCGAGTACAATCACCGCGCCCCTGCTGCTTGTGACCTCCCCTGACAAGGAGTTGCCCTTTTCGAGGTGGTTTCACCAAAAAAAAGCCCCAAAATCCGAGCCCTGTGTTTCGTGCAGCTGATCCGTCTCGATAAAAAGCAGGAATTCGGTTTGCCCCGATGGTAATTCGTCCCTAATTGCACTTCTCAGCTCTCCCTGACCGCTTCAGGAATGCTTAAATATAACTTTTTAGCGGCCTAATAATAGTCTTTGGCTTTTCTCTGTGTGTGTTACTTTTGGCAGTTCCTGGGGCTGCTTTTGGCTGTGGGGTTGTTGCTTGGCTGTTCGTTATCTCACGAAGCATTAAAATAGCAGTGAAACGCTTCTGGGGTTAAATGTAAGATCAGAGTTGTGGGACGGGGGAAATATTTCTCCAGCTGAATTTGGTGGTATCTGCCCGGTGCTGGTCCCTCGCTCGGTGCAGAGGGTGTTTAATCTGCTCTGCTGGGAATTCCCCAGGGAGAATTAATGGCCCTTCCCGAAGTGTCCCCGCTCCAGACTCCCTCCTTCTGCCGCTGGCAGGGCTGGTATCGATCAGAGGAGCTGTTGAAAAGCTTTCTGCTCAATTTATACTTGAAACAAGTTAATGAAATAATCCTTTCGAGTGCCAGGCTCCCCCTCTCGGCGGCGAAATCGAGGTGAAGCTGCTGCTAATTGGGCAATTACTTTGCTGTGCAAAGAAAATCAAGGAAATCCCAAAGGAGTGGGAGCCGGGGCTGTCATCCCTGGGCTGTGTTGGAGCTCGGGCTGTCCCTGCTCCAGAGCTCCATGGATCCCATACAGCTTTCCCAGGGCAAAGTGGCTGGAGCTTCATTCCTTCCTGGCTCTGTGCCTCGCTGTGCAGGCTCTGGGAGCTTGAATTTTTCCTCTTGATCGTCCCAGTGCTTTCACTGCAGCTCTGGAAGGGCTGGAGTTTCCATTGCTCTCCTCACTTCCATGTGCTCCGGAGTGTGTGGGAGCTGCGGCACAAACTGGGCAGGACTGCCCAAACCTGGGATGCTGGGGATCCCTCACCTCACACTCCTGCTCCTTTTGGGAGCTCAGCATGGAAATGCCGTGATTTGTCCCAGCCTCCCTCGGTTGGCTCTGCTGCCTGAGCCCTTGCAGGGCTGGGGATCCCGGTGGGTTTGGAACGGGGGTGATGCGGGGCTGATCCTGCAGCTGCTCTGGTCATGCAGGATCCCACCGAGCTGAGCAGCAGCTGCTGAGCCTCCCAAAGGCCTTCCCTGAAAGGGAAAGCTGGGAGTGTTGGGAAGGAGGTCCAGGAGGGTTTGAAAAGGCCTGGATGTGCTGTTTGGGAATCCAGGGGGTCAGATGGGGGTCAGGGGTGGGTTTGCTCCTGACGCTCCTCGTTTTCCAGCCCTGACTGGGAGCAGCACCTCTCCATTCCCTTGGCAGGGAAGCGCTGCTGGTGCGAGGGTGGGAATTCCCTGGGAGCAGCAGGACTCTGATTCCCAAGAGCCAGGCTGTGTGCCCGTGGTCCCTGCAGTGCCTGGGCTGGTTCCTGGGCTGGAGCCCGTTTTCCCAAGGCAGCTGTTGCAGTGGTGGCTCTGGAAGCCCATCCCTCTCTCTCTCTCTCCCACAGCCAGCGTTCCCTGTGCCGTGGCCCTGGAGAGGCCGGGCCGTTCCCGCCGGACCTGCTCCCTGGACACCATCCTGGGCTCGTACCTGCTGGGCCAGTGGCCCCGGGACAGGGACAGCCCACCCTGCACCAGGGACAAAGCCACCCAGGTACGGACACGGTGGGAATTCCCAGCGGGAATGTTCTAGGAAGGCTTTTGATCCCTTTGTGCTTCTCAGCTCCAACTGATGGGGCAGAGCTGGAGTTGCCTTGGCCTGGTTTGGAGGCCTCTTCCTTCTCCAGGACTGACTCTATTTCTATGGAAGTAGCAATAATTTTATAAAATACGCAAATGTATAATTTATACTATGATTTAAATATTATTAATAATTAAATTCTAAAATGTAAATAATAATTTAGGTTTTTATAATATAACTTAAATATCTATTCGGTTTATATAATCTTTGTGTGGCGTGGAAGGGGGGGGATTGTTCAGATCCCGAGTCTGAGAGGGTTGTATTTCTGCCTAGAAATCACCTGTAGCCCTTCACACAAACCTGGTGTCTCTCTGGGTTACTCAGCTCGTTCCTTTAAATGGATTTTCCAGCCCTGTTTTGAGGGAAGAGGCTCCTGTCACCCTGCGATTCCCAGACTGTTCCAGGCAGCTGCTGCTGCCTGGGGAAGCTTTTCTCAGGCCCTGCAGCTCCCAGGGCCAGGGATGGAGCAGGGGGGGATCATCCAGGGCCTCCCACAGCCACAGCAGAGCAGGGACACAGGGAGAGCCTTCCAGGAGTGGGATGTGGGGGAAGAACGATGTGCCTGGGGACTGCTGCAATGCCGGAGAGGGCCGAGGTCAGGGGAAGGAAGTTCACACCCTGTGCTGATCACATTAACAGCCCTGATTCCAGTGAGTTCAGAGCGGAGCTGCTTTTTGGGAGCACAGGGAGAGCTGCCTGTCCTGGGGGTGGAGGGAGCCAGCTGGTCCCTCCCATGCTCCTTCTGCAGCCCAAACTCTGGGAGGGGGTTCAGCTCGGAGCTCCAGAACTGAGGAACTGGGGCCTCCCAGCCAGCTGTGTGTTCCCAGAGCCGGGGGAGGCTTTCCCCTCCATGTCTCCATGCAGGAAGGGCCTGATCCCTGTGATCCCTGTGTCACCACAGGCAGGGAATGTCCCAGACGGATCTCTGGGAGAGCTGGAAGTGTTCCCCTAGAGAAGAGAAGCTCCAGGGAGACCTGAGAGCCCCTTCCAGGGCCTAAAGAGGATCCAGGAGAGCTGGAGAGGAACTTGGGACAAGGGATGGAGGGACAGGACAAGGGGGAATGGGTTTAAACTGAGTAGGATAGGTGGGATATTGGGAAGAAATTCCTCCCTGGGAGGGTGGGAGGAGCTGGACTGGATTTCCCAGAGGAGCTGTGGCTGCCCCATCCCTGGGAGTGTCCAAGGCCAGGCTAGGAGCAACCTGGGAGAGTGGAAGGTGAACTTCGAGGTCCCTCCAAGCCAAACCATTCCCCAATTCCACCACTAGTGAGCCTTGTGTTGACGAGGGCAGACTGGCCCGGGGCAGGGGCTGATCCCAGCTTCTGCAGGCTCCAGGAGCAGCCTCTGAAGCCGTGCCCTGTGATTGTCCTCAGCCCTGTTTCTCGTCCCAGACCCCGCAGTCGTGGCCCGAGGCGGCGGCAGGGCCGGGCAGCGCCGGGGGCAGCTCCGACCACCGGCGGGAGGTAACGCCGAGCCCGGGCTGGGCAGGGGCTGCAGGGGAGGGAGGGAGCCAGGATACCTTTGGGAACGAGACCTCAGCCCTTGTCCTCATCCCTGACACCGGCATTGGGCTGCAGGTGGATCTGTGGCCTCCCAGAGCAGATCAGGGTGTTGAGTGTGGTTCCAGCGGGGAATCCTCACCTTTGGGTGCAGGATAACCCAGATCCCCCATGGAATGGCTCTGGCCACGCTGCAGCAGCACAGGCTGATGAGGCCTTGGGAGAACTCCAGACCCATCTGTTGAGCTGCTGCTCCTGGGATCGTGTTGGCTTTGGCACTGCCCGTGGGCTGGACAAGGGGAGGAGGAGGAGGATGGGTTTGGGGAGGGGTTGTTGAGGGGGCTGGTTGGGGGGTGTTGTTCTGGGGGGTGTTGTTTGGGAGGGTTGTTTGGGGGGGGTTGTCCTGGGTCTCCTGCTCCCACTGCTGCTCCTGTGTGTCCCAGATTGCCAAGCTGAAGCAGCAGCTCCAGCGCACGAAGCTCAGCGGCAGGAATGGGAAGGAGAAGGAGAAGAGCTGCCCATTCCCAGGGGATCACACACTCCTTGGATCACTCCAGGTACATCCACACCCTGCCCCTGCTCCCTGGCACCCCATCCCAGTGAGGGGCAGAGCAAAATCCCCCCGGGAAGGGCCCCCAACCTCCTGGGCTGGGCCTTCCTCAGGCCTCTGGTGCCCGAGAGGGAGGATTTCTCCTCTCCCACCTCTCCAGCACATTCCTGGGATTCCCTCTGCACTCGAGTTCACAGGACTCTCCTGTCAGTGTCCCCCCAGCCCAGGAGGCTCTGGCTGAGCCCTGGAAGCTGAGGGTGTGCAGATCCAGCTCTGACTCCCAGGATTCTGGACTCTTGCAGGACTCTCCCTCGGGATTCCTTTCTCCGTCTCCCGTCCTGAGGCTCAGCCCCTGCTTGCACAGGAGCCTGGAAGGGCTGAACCAGGAGCTGGAGGAGGTGTTTGTGAGGGAACAGGGAGATGAGGAGCTGCTGAGGGTGAGTGAAGGTCAAGGATGGTCTGGAATCTAGTGCCCTTGGAAACCCTTTCCTCCAGAAGCTCTGCTCCCAGAGTTCCTGCCCTGCAGGTTCAAGCTCTCCCAGGCTCAGGGGGGGTTCCTGCTCCTCTAATCCTTTGCTCCTTCCCAGATCCTGGATGTCCCAGACGGGCACAGGGCACCGGCACCCGCCCAGCCAGACCCCCTGGACACGGCCCTGGAGCCGGGAAGTGGCAGCTGGAGCAGCCTCTCCCTGTCCCCCTCCCTGTCCATGCGGACCCCAGGAAGGCCGGGAGCGCCCGAGCCCTCGGAGGCACAGCCGGAGCCAAAGGAGAAAGGTGAGCATGGAAAAGGGCTGGGAGCTTTGGGGGACATGAGGGGACTCAGAGCTCCTGGGCTGCTCCTCCCTGGCTGTGGGATGGGAGACAGACCCGGGAATTTGGCTGCACTGGAGTTACAGCTCCAGGAATTCCCCTCCTCCATGAGGGCGGTGTCCAGGCAGTGAGCTGGGATGTGGCTTTGGGAATATCCTGAGCTGGAAGGGACCCCCAGGGATCATCCAGTTCAACTTGTGGCTTTGCCCCTCAATCCCCCACAGCCTCTTCTCCACCTGAACATTCCATAACGGGGTGGGGGGTTCTAAAAGAACATGCTCCATGTTGGATTCCTCTGGATTCTTGGGAAAGCTATTCCAAATCCTCTTTTTCTTCCCTCCCAGAGCGGAGCAGCCCTTCTCCAGTGCTGGCCTTTGCCTCCTCTCCTCGTCCCAACCACAGCTACGTGTTCAAACGGGAGCCTCCTGAGGGCTGTGAGAGAGTCCGAGCCTTTGAGGAGACCCTGTGAGTGTGGGGAGCCCTTGGAAAACCACTGGAGTGGGGAGGGTCCCATGGGATGCTAGGCAGGGGCAGCTGAGGCTCCTGGGAAAGCAGGGATGGGGGAAAACACTTCCAACAGAAAGGCTGCTCAGGATCTGGGGACAGAAGCTGGAGGGGGCAGTGCTGGGAGGATCCCGGAATTCCCTGCACTTCCCAGGCCTCTTGAGGGGAAGATGGTTCTCCCCTAAATCAGGGGGATGTCCCACAAATCAGTGGGGTCTCCAAGCCAGACAGGCCCTCAGTACCCGCTCCCAGCAGCTGCTCCTCGCACATCCCAGGCTGTTCTGTGCCTGCTCGGCCGCTCCCTTGGGAATTGCTGTCCCTAATGTGTGCCCTCTGTGTCCCCTCAGCTGCTCCAGCCCATCCCAGCCTTTCCAGCCTTCCTGCCCGGACAAGAACAAGGTTCACTTCACCCCCTCGGGCTCCGCCTTCTGCCCCGTGCGCCTGGTGCAGCCGCTCTTCCCAGATGTGGGATTCCTCTTCCGGGACTTCCCGGCTCCCCCCAGCGCTGGCACGGCCCCCTTCCCCTCCTGCCAGCCCCCCCCAGCCCCCAGCCCCTTCCTGGAGGAGGTGCCCAAGGCTCCCAGCCGGAATTGCGAGCCCTGGAAGCGCGGCCAGGCCGAGGAGAGCGTCGTGTTCCAGAGCTCCCTCGTGGTGTGAATCCCTCGGGAAGGGCAGCACCGGCACCTGCGGCTCCTCAGTGCCTTGGAGGTGGGATGTGGCAGCCCCTGGGATTGGGAATTGTGGCAGAATTCCCCCCAGGATGGCAGAGACTGGGAAGGACAACGTGCCCTGGCTCCCTCGCTGCTGGGAGGGCTCGTTCCTGGAGCCTCCCCAATCCAAAGCACTTTCCCGGGTTGGATTGTCCTTGTTTCCTCTGGGAAGAGCAGAGGCAAATCCCTGCTCCTCTGGGAATGAGGGACCTCTCGTCCCTGCTGGGACTGGGGAGAAGGGGCTGGAGCTGCCCTTGGATGTGCCAGGCTGGAATTGTGTCCCTGCACAGCTCCTGTCCCTCAGGGAGGGCGGGAGAGCAGCACATTCCTGGCTGTGCCTCCCCTTCCCTGCTCCAAACCTGGAGCTTCCAGGGATCTCCTGGAATTGTGTGGCTGAGGGTGCCCTTGGAGCCGTGAGCTGCTCTCCCTGCCTTCCCTGCTCTGCCAGGGGCCTGGTGCTGCAGGGAGAGGGCATGGAAGTGGGATCTGGCAGCACACACAGATCCTGCTGCTTCCCAAAGAAACTTCCTGGGATGAGAGCCCGGATGGGGCTGGGGTGGAGGAAGTCTGGGACCTTCAGCCTCATCCAGGGGGATCCAGGACCTTTGCGCTCTTCCAGGGGGATCTGGGACTCTTGGCCTCATCCAGGGCAATCTGGGACCCTCAGTCCCACTTGGAGGGATTCCAGAACCTTTGGCCTCATCCAGGGGGATCCTGGACCCTTGGCCTTATCCAGGGCTGGGCTCTGTGCAGGATCAGGAGCCACATCCAGCAGCTCCACCCTGTGAAGCCTTTGAAGTTCCCTCACACAGAGCAGGCATCGTGGAGCCTCTTTCCAGCAGGAGCTGGGAGCTGTGTCCTGTTCCAGGGGCTCTGGGATGTTTTGGAGCTGCTGCTTTTCCCATACCTGGTGTAGAAACTCTATTTTCTTCCAAAGACACTTATTTTTGCAGCTCTTTGAGGTTTGTATTTCACGTCCTGCGAAGAGGATCCTTCCCCCTGCAGCTCCTGCCTGGTGGTCACGGAGTGGGGGGAGGTTTGGGGGTTATTTTGTGCAAATGCTGGGAATGCTGGTGCCAAGGAAACAAAATAAACACTTCAGGCATCCAAAGGGCTTCTCTGGGATTTAAGGGATGGGCTTTGGGGGTGAGGACAGGGACAGCCCAGAGCCTGGTTTGGGATGGAGGGGCCGGGCTGGGGGTTCATCCTGCCCGGCTGGGGTCACTGGGAGGGCGCTGGGGGTCACTGGGAGGGAGCTGGGGGTCACTGGGAGGGTGCCGGGGGTCACTGGGAGGGCGCTGGGGGTCACTGGGAGGGCGCTGGGGGTCACTGGGAGGGCGCTGGGGGTCACGGGGAGGGCGCTGAGCTTTACGAGGAGGAGGTCGGGGCTCCCCTGGAGGGGTCGGGGCTCCCCTGGAGGGGTCTGGGCTCAGGGCTGTTCGGGCCGATCCCGGAGCTGTTCCCGTGTCCGTTCCCGGGCGGGCTTTGGGACCGCCGCGCCTCTCTTGGCGCGGTGGGCGTGGCCTCCCCCGCTGTCCCTCCAATCCCCTCGTTCCCCGTGGCCCCGCCCCCTCCCCTCAGCCAATCGCCGCGCTCCACATCCCGTGGCGTCCCCGCGCGCGCCGCGCCGCTCCCAGGCCCCCGCAGCGCGGGGCTGCCCCGCGCGGTGCCCGCCTCGCGGGGGGCTCTGCGGGGGCTCCGCGGGGGGATTCGCGGCCTCCGCCGCCCCCGGGAGGGTCGGGGGGTCTCGACCCGGGGACCCCGCGCGGTCCCGGCGGGCTCTGCCGCCCTCTCCCCCCCCGCGGGGCCCGCGGCGGGCCCGGCAGCGCTGAGGGCGCCCGGCACAGGCGCGGGGCGATGAGGGCCGCCCGGGGCCGGCCGGGATGTGGCGCTGGAGCTGCCGGAGCCCGACATGGGAGCGACCCCCGCGATCCCCGAGCGCCTCCGCCTGCCCCTCTGCTGCCTCGGCGTGTTCGCCTGCTACTGCTGCTACGGCATCCTGCAGGAGAGCATGTGCGGCACGGCGGGGCACGGGGACGGCGCACCGGAGGGGACGGGACACGAGGGACACCGGGAGGGAACCTGAGGGACACGCCGGGGGACACCGGGAGGGGACGAGGGGCCGGGGTCACAGACAGGAGCGGAGGGGACAGGGGAATGGGGGAGACACGTGGGGCGGGGGGACACCCGGTAGGAGGGGGGGTGACACCGGGGACCGGGGGGTGACACCGGAGATAGGGAAGTGACACGGGACTGGGACGGGGAGAGACTCGGGGGCACAGCCGGGGCCACCCCCTCGCTGAGCCGGGCGGGTCCCGCGCGGTGTCCCCGGGAGCTGCCCCGGGATGGAGCCGCCGCTGTCCCCGCGGTCTGTCCCGCTGTCCCCTGTCTGTCCGTGTCTCACTGTCCGTCCCTCCAGCACTCGGGGCCGTTACGGGGAGGGGGCTCACCAGGAGAAGTTCAAGTTCGCGCTGACCCTCGTGTTCATCCAGTGTGTCATCAACGCCGCCTTCGCCAAACTCCGTGAGTGCCCCGGCCCTCCCCTGCCCCTTCCCTGCCCCTTCCCTGCCTTTCCGTGCCCCTTCCCTGCCCTCCCCTGCCCTTCCCTGCCGGGGGCGCGGGGACAGCGCTCCCCATGTCCCGGTGTGTCCGCAGTGCTCCGGCTCGTGGATGCAGCGCGGGTGGATCGCACGCGGGGATGGCTCTACGGCGCCTGCTCCCTGTCCTACCTGGGGGCCATGGTGTCCAGCAACTCGGCCCTGCAGTTCGTCAGCTACCCCACCCAGGTGGGACCCTCAGAGCGCTGTGGGATCCTGGGGATCACTCGGGATTTACTGATCCCTGTATGGATCACTCAGGATTTACTGATCTATCTATGGATTACTCAGAATTTACTGATCCCTGTATGGATCACTCAGGATTTACTGATCCCTGTATGGACCACACAGTATTTACTGATCTATTTATGGATTGCTCTGTGTGCACTGATCCCAGTATGGATCACCCAGCACAGCCTGGAGGAGCACAGCCCCCTGGGAAGGGACACCAGGGGGATTGATTCCCATTTTTCTGTGGCCACTTTTATGTTAGGGAGGGACAGGGAGAGCTCAGGTGATCCAGAAAGGGAAGAGCAATCCCTAGAAATGTTGGGAATTTGCTGTTGGAAGGCTTGGGGGGGGGGTGGTTGAAGAACCTTCACTGTTAATTTGCCTTGGTAATTAATCACCCTGAGTTGGGGTGGGGTTGGAAGTCCCTGGTGTGTCCTGTGTCAGGGTGACCCTATGCTCATCCTATATCCAGGATTTCTCTCCTCCCTGGTGATGAGATTGGGATAGTTAATCCTTGTCTTTCCTTTCCAGGTCCTGGGCAAGTCCTGTAAGCCCATTCCAGGTGAGCAAATTCCCTGTTTCCCGTGTGTTTGTGGGGATTTCTCCTTGGCAGATCCATCTCCCTGCTCTGCTGGGCCGGGTTTAACTCCCAGGAGGGGCTTTGGGACATCCCTTCTCTGCAGCCGTGATTTTTAGGAAGGACTTGTTAGGAGTTTAATTCCTGTAAGGGCTTCTGGGAGCGGTTTTTGACGTCCCTTCTGTCAGTGATGCTCTTAGGGGTGACCCTGCTGAGGAAGAAGTACCCCCCAGCCAAGTACCTGTGCGTGCTGCTCATCGTGGCGGGGGTGGCCCTGTTCCTGTACAAGCCCAAGAAGGGGGCTGGGAGTGATGACCACGTCTTTGGCTACGGGGAGCTGCTGCTGGTGAGTGCCAGGGCACAGGGCAGGGGAGGGGCTGGCCCTGGGCCTCAGGGGGCACTTACAGCTCACCTGGGCCTGGGGGAGATAAACCCAGGGCCTCAGGTGTGCAGCTCACCTGGGTGCTAAACACAGACCCGGGTGTGATTTACAGCTCACCTGGACCTGAGGTCTAAATCCCGACCCCTCAGGTGTGATCCCAGCTCCCCATCCCAAATCCCAGAATTCAGGTGTGATCCCAGCTCCCTGTCCCAAATCCCAGAGTTCAGGTGTGATTCCCAGCTCCCCTGTCCCAAATCCCAGAGTTCAGGTGTGATTCCCAGCTCCCAGAGCCGCGGTGGAGCCGTGGCAGGAGGGCAGGTGGGGCGTGAGGGGGCTCTGAGCTGTGCTGGGGTCCAGCTCAGGTGCTGAGGCACCAAACTCCTTTTCAAAGAGCTCGTGCTCGGAGGTGCTGGGGTGTGCAGTGGGCACAGGGAGGGGTCCCTGTGGAAAGGAGCAGACAGTGGAGGGTTTGTGTCCCTGCCCAGCTGCTGTCGCTGACCCTGGACGGGCTCACGGGGGTGTCCCAGGACCACATGAGGGCTCATTACCAAACTGGCTCCAACCACATGATGCTCAACGTCAACCTCTGGTCCACCCTGTTCCTGGGGGCAGGTAAGGATGCCCTGCCCACACCCCAGGGCACAGCCTGTGGCTGATCCTCACCCTGACCCTCACCCTGACCCTCACCCTGACCCTCACCCTCGCCCCTGAGCTCCAGAAACGGGCCTGGAACACCTTGTGGGAAAACCTTGCTGCTTTGGTCTGGGGATCTTTGTCTGTTTGTGTGTGAAAAGGGGGGGTTGCTCAGTGTAGCTCTGCCAGTGCCCACCAGAGAGCCCCAGCCAGGCTGGAAAGGGCTTGGAAAGACCCAGGATAGTGGAAGGTGTCCCTGCCCATGGCACAGAGTGGAACTGGATGAGTTTAAGGTGTCTCCCAACCCAACCCATGATTTGATGATCAGGCTGCAGCCCTTCTGATTAATTGCTGTACTGTTGGAATTTGATCTGTAGTTAATGATTGCTCCTTTCATTAATTAACCAGGGAGGTGATTGCTTTTTCTCCTGTTGTTTTCCACTTTGGAGTTCACTCTCTGCTTCCAGTAGCTCCCCTTGGGGCTCTGAGCACAGACTGAAATTGCACCACGTGCGATTTTGGGCTCCCAAGTTCAGGGTTTTCCACCTTGGTGTGTCTTCCAGGGATCCTGTTCACTGGGGAGCTCTGGGAGTTCCTGAGTTTCACGGAACGTTATCCCAGTGTCATCTACAACATCCTCCTGTTCGGCCTCACCAGCGCCCTGGGGCAGGTGAGTGCTCCTGCCCTGCCCCCCCGGATCCTGGGATGGTTCTGGACCACCCTGTGCTGCTCTGGGGGGTGCCTGGACCCTGCACAGCCTGTGGGATGGGGTGGAACTGGATCATCTTCAACCCAGACCATCCCAGGACTCTGTGAAACCGATTCAAGTTCATGTGCAGATAATCAGAATTTGAGATGAGATCCTTCAGCTCTTCCCTGAGAACACGATCCCTGGCGTCCTTTTCCTGGGGCTGGTGACAAACAGCCCCTGTTTGCTCCCCCCAGAGTTTTATCTTCATGACTGTGGTGTACTTCGGGCCCCTGACCTGCTCCATCATCACCACCACCCGCAAGTTCTTCACCATCCTGGCGTCCGTCATCCTGTTTGCCAACCCCATCAGCTCCATGCAGTGGGTGGGGACCATCCTGGTGTTCCTGGGTAAGTCTGGGAAGCAAATCCCTGGGATCCCTCTGTCCAGCTGCTCAAACACCACGTACCTGTGTTAGAGCTCTCGTGCCCCCAGCAGCTCCGGGGTGTCCCCCACACCGGGTGACTCCTGGCCACAGCACCGGCAGTTTGGGGCCAGCAAGCTGCTTTTCTTGCCCCCAGCATTCCTTGTTTGGGGAACACAAAGCATTTTTCGGTGCATGTGGCTCGTTTTCTGTCCTTGCAGGGCTTGGCCTCGATGCCAAATTCGGGAAGGGAGTGAAGAAAACGTCGCATTGAGGAGGTGGTCGGTCGGTTGATCCCCGCGGATGGAATGAACTTTTAATTTATTGTCTTGTACCTCAAAATCTGTTCAACTGGACTCAGGAGAGGGAACCAGAAGGAGACTGTGTGGAATCTTTTGTTGGTTTGTTTTAGTTTTTTAATTCTAAGTTGTCTTACAGATGTAACTCTTTAATTTGAAGTGTAATTAAGCTTTTTTTTTTTTTTGGTTGGTTTTCTGTAATCAGAGCCACGCAGCAGCAGCAGGAAATTCTTGCCTTAACAGGAAAAAACCACAAATCCTTCATATCTTTATTAAAGA